CTTCTCTGGGCAACCTGTTCTAGTGCCTCACCACCCTCAGAGTGAAGAATTTCTTCCTTAGATCCAATCGAAATCTCCCCTCTTTCAGTTTAAAGCCGTTGCCCCTTGTCCTATCACTACACGCCCTTGTAAAAAAGTCCCTCTCCAGCTTTCTTGTAGGCCCCCTTTAGGTACTGGAAGGCTGCAGTAAGATCACCCCGGAGCCTTCTCTTCTCCGGGCTGAACAGCCCCAGCTGCCTCAGCCTGTCTCCAGAGCAGAGGTGCTCCAGCCCTCGGATCATCTTCGTGGCCTCCTCTGGACTCGCTCCAGCAGCTCCATGTCACCAGAGGTTCCCTCGAAGCTTCTGGTGTTCAGAAGCGCAGACTAAATCCACAGAAATGGAGGCAGAGCAAGCTGGGAACCTGCTTCATGCAGACCGCTGGCAGCAAGCAGGCTGCTTTCCTTCGGACAGAGTTGGCTCCTGTGCACTCAGCTGGTGGGACCGTGCTTGTTCAAACACATGCTGCTGCCTTCCTGCTACACAGCCAGGACAGCCGCCCGCAGCAATTACAGCTCTTGGTGCTTTCTCTCCTCCAACCAAGCAGCAGCTCAGACTTTGCTCCTGGACATAGGGTGGCCCATAAACACCTTCCCCCTGCAGCACTTGAGCCAGTTACTCTGGCGCTTCCACATGGGTTCCTGGTCTCAGAGAAGCCATGAAGGGCTGGGAACGCGCCGCAGGCTGCGGTATGACATTCGCCCTTTGCCTGCAAGAGAAAACACGCTTTCAAGTGTCACTACATCCCCTCTTACCCACTTTAGGGATTTGGAGAACAGCAAGGAAGAGCTGGTGGTAGTGCTGGGGTTGCTGAGATGGCTCAGGCTGCTGTGGCTGGCCAGGCAACTCCACTTCAACGTAAAGCAGGTCACTAGGTCCAAGGCTGGCACCCTGCCCGCTGTCACTGTTGGGGTGCTGCGGCCGAGGCGCTTGGCCTGGCTGGCAGGGCTCGACTGGTGGCAGTAGAACTTTGCAGATGAGTGAAGCACAGTGCAGACATGGTCTGATGACATGGACTGAAGGTGGCATGCAAAGGGAAGTGATGGACCACCCCCAGGTCCCAAATCCTCCTGAATATCACCGAGCCACCACTTCTTTGGCGCTGGAGAAATACTTCTCCAGCCCTCAAGGCCTCCCGAGTGAGATGAGGCAGAATAATTCCTGGTTCCACTGCTATTGAGGGAAGGATTTTTTTGTGAGCCGTGACATTTCTGTGAACCCAGAGGATGCGATAATAGGTTAAATGCTGCAGCCATGTTTGGCACTGCATGATGATGGCTCATGCTTTTCTTTTGGGAGCATCTAGCAGCAACACCCCGAGAGTGCTGCCTGGCTCCTTCCCCAGGACTACAGCGTCAGAGCTGGCTCTGTTCTGGCTGGCAATCCCTGCAGAGGCCTCAGCTGGGGTCAGGCAGCTCCTGTGCTGCCTACCTTGAAAAACACCCTCACCAAAGTACACAGTCAAGTTTTTATAACATCTGCATCTGTCTTAGAGCAGTTAGGAGAGAGCAAGAAAAAGAGAGCGAGCTGTCATAAGCAGAAAGTACGTGACTCAGGAATCACGAGGTGGGAAAGACAACAGAGTCTTTAGTCATTTCAGGCAGTTGTTAAAAGGAAACCCTCTTCAGCCTCCTGAAAAGCAGGTCCTGCCTCTGGCAAGGCCAAATAAAGGGTGGACCTTTCTCCCTCAGCACAATACAGCTGTATGCCTCAGTTCTACAGCCGTAATAGAATTGTAATCGAGAGCAGACAGATTCTTGGTCTCCAATGCTGTACACGAGCTCTTAAAAGCCCTTTCTTTGTAATGGAAAGTCAAAGCAATGATTTTTAAGATCTGTGTTCCCCACCTGCCAACTACAAAATGGCAGATGGCCGTGGATGCAACCTCACAGCCAAAGAGCACACGAGGAGTCAGGCTGCACTGAGAAGATTTTCCAGAAAACAGCTATTTTAGATTTGTCTTTGGTGCCAAGAGACAATAGAGCAATAGGCTTTAATAAATTGCCTAAATATGTGTTTATCTTGAAGACATAGCCACTTTGATCCTCTGAGCATACCAGTGTCAGAGAGACATTAATAGCTCCAAGCAAGTATTGCAATAGCTTGGATAAATAATCTGAATTTTATTACTTTACAGGAATGATTTCTGAGGGAGTTAGTGCCCTGGGAACCACTGGAAGCTGATGTTGTGGCATGAGCTTGAAATGTAGAATTT